GGCCTTGTTGACCAAACCCACACGGGCTGAGTAGGGCTAAAGACTGTCTGACGACTCGACTGTCCCGGAGGACACGAACCCTCCCAAGGACCGGTACTGACCAGCGGGCTGCTCAGTGTGGCACGGTGGGCCCAAAATCCGAGCTGTGGGCTGCACAACAGGCTGTCTAAGTGTTGAGAGGCCTGCTGATCACGTCGTCCTGTTTCGGACGTTAAATAATTCCTAAGGAGTTACGGAGGATCTCCTTAAATGCCTCCTGATCAGCAACAGGTCCAGTAGTGACAGCCATAGTTAGGTCTAGGCTAGAGACCCTAGTTGGCAGGATCCCTGTCCGGATTCTGTGAGTCTTTCGATTGAGTCAATAGGTTTGTCAGTCAGGGGTTAGAATCTACGTGGTGAGGTTTGGAACCGTCAATTCGGTTGTGCACTGATCACCATGGTTGAGACCCGTAGCGGGACGAGTACTAGCCCCTACACCCAGGAGCAACAGGAGAAGATGGCCGCCTTAGTGAGAGAAAACAAGGAGAGGAAAGAGCTCCTGAAGCAGGCGAAGCTGAAGGCAATTGCAGAAGAGCAGGCGGCGAAGATGAAGAAATTGGAGGAGGAAATGAAGTAAGTTCAGCAGGAGGAGGAAGCGAGGAGAAAGGCTGCCAAAGAGGAAGCAGCAGCAGAAGAAGAAAAAGAGAGAAGACGTATAGAAGAGAGAGGAGAAAGTAGTGGCACGACAAATGAGAATGCCGCAATGGAGAGAAAGATCAGTGAGTGGATAGCTAATTTATCGTTGGGGGAAGATGAGGAGGCAAAGTCTTATGTGCCCCAGGATGAGAGGGATGCGTTGGCCAGTGAGCTAGCGACAATGGAGGACCCTCTGGAACGGCGAGAACGAGAAGAAGAGAAGTTGGAGTGGAAACTGAGAATGAAGAGGGAGAAGAAGAGGAGGAGGGACGAAGTTAATAGGCTGACCGAGGAGGTGGCAAAAATGAGAGATTGCAGACAGGAAGTGCAGGCGCAGACAGACATGTCTGCCAATATGGATAAAGTGCTGGGTTATCTGGAAGTGTTGAGTGCGGCCTGGGTTGGAGGAGCGCCAAGCCAATAGGGGTCAGGATGTGGCCCTGAGTGTCATGCGGTCAGGGTTTAGAGATGGTCACCCACGTTGGAGGCGAAGTTAGGCGACTGAGGGACAGCATGGGGAAATTCTGCGAGGGCGCCATCGAGGACGCCAAAGCAATAACCGCTGTAGAGGTTGAAGCCAGGCCCCGTAAAGAGCCTGTCAAACTTAAATTCCCAGATGCATACGGGGGAAAGAAGGAGGAGAATTTTGATAACTGGGAGGCAAGCGTCAATAGCTACGTGTACCTACAACACATCTTGACTGAGGAGCAAGTCCTCGTCGCCTTCCATGCCCTTAAGGATGAAGCGGCTAGTTTTGCCAGGTCCTTAGCGCGCACAGCCGGTTGTGAAAACAACCTGGTTGCATATTCCAAGGTTACCCCTCTCCCTCACTTCTTCAAGCTCCTGAGGAAGTGATTTGCTGACCCAACGAGAGGCGTTAGAGCCTCTGACAAGCTACAAACTATCCACTCACGACAGTGGAGTGCAAGGGCACTCAGGGGCGTCATGGACGACTTGGTAGCCGTCCCAAACCATGTGGTCATTGAGCCCCAGTTGGTCCAATTATTTTATCGTGCCATGCCAGAGCCCTTGCGTGGGCATTTCTTTGACGGATCTCAACAGGCCAACATCACTTATGATGTGCTGAGTAGAGAGGTGGTCCTGTTCGAGTCAAAGTCCATGTCAGTTTCTACTTTCTGGCACAAGGACTTGGACAAAGGAAAGAAGTGGAAGGGTCGTACCATCTCTCGCCAAGTCAGGGCCAAGGATCACATGATCCTTACCTTAGAGGAGGGTGGTACAGAAGAGGTCCCATATAGTCAGATCGAGTGGGGCCTTGAGGAGGAGGACAATAGCGTGGGGCAGGGGAGGTCCTATGTTGCTGTCGCGGCTGGAGGGAGGCCGCAAAGTAGAGGAGGCCAGGGCCAAAGGGGCCAGGCCATGGGAGGCCGAGGACCAGGCGCACAGGGGGTTGGCGGACAAGGGAACCGCCAAGTGGGAGGTAGGGGTCAAGGTCCCCTGCCAAATCGTCAAGGTTCTTGTTGGTCCCCACAGCGACGAGGTGGAAGGCCACCTCAAGGAGGATGGCACCCAGGCTTGCCACAGGGCAGGCCCTGGGAAGACTTGGGCTTGGACCAGCGCGTATGGCAGGAACGCGTGAACTTGGGTCAGTGCGTGTTTTGTGGTGACCCGACCCACGTAATTAAATTTTGTCCTCAGTACAGACAGGCCCGATGGGCTGCTCGTCCCTCACAGGTGTGGCAAAAGAGCTGAAGGAGAGAATGCCAGCCTGGGCCAAAATGAAGAAGGAGAGTAAGGGACAACTGATCTTGGTAGATGAAGAAGTATTTAGAAGTAGAGTAGGGGCCCTTCTAGACTCAGGGGCGACCCGTAGTTATATTAGCCGTAGAGCGTTGAAGAAGTTGAGGCTAGGATTAAAAGTCCAAAAGTTGGCAGACCCCATAGTCAGTGTCCTGGCAGACAACCGCACAATGCGAGTTGAGGACTACGTAGAGGGAGTCCAGGCATACTTTCGCCTAGAGAAAGATGGGAAGGTGGAGAAAGTTCTCCATTCCCTAACTCTCCTTGTACAGGACGACCTTCCTTTCGACATAGCGCTAGGAATGAATTGGGGAGAGGCAGCAGGGGCGACGCTCCACTTGAGAGAGCATGAGTGTAGGCTCCCTAGTCCATCAGGCGAGGTCAAGACAACCCGCCTGTTTCATGTGTCAGGTGTAGATAACACCTTGGCACATTGCTGTCTCAGTGCTCCCTCATTCGCGCGGCTAGTGAAAAAGGAGCAGTTAGAGGAGCAGGTCTTCGTAGCGTATGGGAGGCCTCTCACTGAGGCTAAGGAGGAGGTAAGCTCCACATATCCAACCATTGCCAAGCTGCTGGAGGAATTCAAAGATTTGACCGAGTCGCCGGCAGGAGTAGTGTCGCGACCCATCCAGCACAGGATAGAGATAGAGCCTGGCAGTAGAACTCCTAAGGGAGCAGTCTACAGGATGTCCCCTTGAGAGTTAGAGGAGTTACGCAAGCAGTTAGACGAGTTCCTCGACAAAGGTTGGATCAGGCCCAGTTCATCTCCTTTCGGAGCAACTGTTCTGTTTGTCCCCAAGAAGGAAGGAGAGCTTCGTATGTGTATACACTATAGGGGTTTGAATGCGATTACTGTGAAGAATGCTGAGTCGCTGCCCAAGATAGACGATCAGGGTTGCAAGTATTTTTCCAAGATAGATTTGAAGTCCGGATACCATCAGATAGAAGTCCATCCTGATGACCAGTACAAGACTGCGTTCCGGACTAGATATGGGCATTATGAGTTCATAGTGATGCCCTTTGGACTAACCAACGCGCCAGCCACCTTTCAGCGTTGTATGAATGACCTGTTCAGACCGTGGTTAGACAAGTTTGTAGTAGTTTATCTAGATGATATACTGGTTTTCAACAGCACCCTCCAAGAGCACCAGAGTCATATGAGGCAAATCTTGGAGAAGCTGAAAGAAGCTAACTTCAAGATTAACGCGAAGAAGTGTGAGTGGACCAAGACACAAGTCCTATACTTGGGCCACGTGTTAGATGGAGATGGCATTAAGCCAAAGGACAGCAAGATAGCGGCGATCAGAGACTGGCCGACGCCCCGCACATTGACAGAGTTGCGGTCGTTCTTAGGCCTAGCTAACTACTATAGGAAGTTCGTGAGGAACTTCTCCACTATCGCCGCCCCCTTGCGGAAGTTGCTAAAGAAAGAGGCAATCTAGCAATGGGACAAAGACTGTACGTCTGCGCTAAAGAGAAGGAAGCACGCGTTAATAGAGTATCCTGTCCTCAAAGTAGCTGATCCGTCTCTGCCATTTGTCGTCACCACGGACGCAAGTCGGTATGGTATAGGCGCCGTGTTGCAGCAAGATGACGGCAATGGCTACAGACCCGTAGAGTTCATGTCAGCGAGGATGCCCTCAGAGACGGTTGCCACCTCGACGTACGAGAGGGAACTCTACGCTCTCACGCTGGCTTTAGAGCACTGGAAGCATTATCTGCTTGGGAGGCACTTCAAAGTATACTCACACCACGAAACTCTTAGACAGGCCAAGATGACACCTAAGTTGACTAGGTGGGCCGCTGAGATAGACCAGTATGACTTTGAGCTCAAACCGGTCAAAGGCAAGTACAATGTAGTTGCGGATGCTCTAAGTAGGGGATCAGACTACTTTGGAGTTACAGTACACTATCTGGATATAGGGAAGGACCTGCAAGAGAAAGTCAGACAGGCGTACGCACAGGACCCTATCTATAGTAACCTCCTCAAGAGAGTTAAGGAAGCCCCAGAGACCGAACCAGACTACCGCACTATTGAGGGACTACTGTTTGAGAAGACTAATGTAGTAGACCGCCTGTGCATCCCCAACAGTGAAGAGATCCGCAGTCTAATCCTAGGGGAATGCCATGACACAGAGGGACACTTCGGTTGGCAGAAGACTTCATCCAATCTGATGTGTGCGTATACCTGGCCAGGAATGAAAGCTGACTCTATAGAGTACACCCGCAGTTGCAAAGTTTGCCAGCGAAACAAGACCACTACGCGCGCCCCTCTAGGTCTTCTCAGATCCTTGCCTATTCCAGACCAGCCCGGAGACTCAGTCTCTATTGATTTTATGGACGCCGGTGTCAAGAGTAGACACGGCCAGAGCCAAGTCATGGTCATAGTTGACCGATTTAGCAAGTATGTTGTTTTTGTTCCTTTGCCTGCAGAGGCACGTACAAATTTAGTTATACGAAAGTTCTTGGACTTTTGGGTTAGTGAGAATGGAGTCCCGTTGTCAATAGTTAGCGATAGAGATAGTCCCTTCACCAGCCAGAACTGGCAAGAACTCATGAGAGTTTACGGATCTAAGTTGTTGATGTCGTCTGGCCGCCACCCAGAGACCAACGGTCACACTGAGCAAATGAACAAAATCCTACAACAAGTTCTGCGCATGTATATTAGACCGGATCAAGTCAATTGGGACGAGATGTTGCCCAAGGTAGCCAGCGCATGCAATAACAGCGTGCATTTGTCTACCTGTTGCACTCCCAATGAGTTACACAAGTCCTTTAGGCCCCGCAGACCATTTGAAGGACTTCCCCGGGATCAAATTCACAGACTACCGCCCGGTACCAGGGAGTTCGCGATACATCACGAGAGAGAGCTAGCTACAATTGTTGAAAACATCAGGAAGGCCCAACATAGAATGATAGAACAGGCAAACAAGCACCGTCGCCCGTCTCAGTTTCAAGTAGGCGACTTCGTCTGGTCAAGTCTAAAGAGTTTGCACCTGAGGAGAACATCTCACAAAAGTTACTGCCTGCATATAGAGGACCGTGGCCGGTTCTAGAAGTCAAGGGCGGAGAGGATGGACCGTCCTACACTATAGAGATTCCAGCACACCTCCATACCTACCCAGTGTTCCATGCTTCAAAGTTGTTGTCGTGTGTCACAAGTCAACAATTCCCTTCAAGAAGATCTATGATCCCTCCGGATATGGATGGCACATATGACATTGACGGCATTGTAGACGAAGATGTGTTCAGGACAGGAGGTAGAGGTCGTCCACATAAACAGTATAAGGTCCGGTTTGCTTATCAGGAACCGGAAGACGACCACTGGTTTACAAGGACAGAACTTCTAGAAACAACTCCCGACATAGTCAGAGCCTATGAGCGTGAGAAGAAGGGTAAAGGTCCTGCCTTGGACTAAAATATTATCGAAGGACCTCGAATTTAGGACAGCGGGAGTGAAACGGTTTTCACCTTTCGCAGTAGCAGATGCAGATCCCAGGGCTCGATCCCTAGTCCTTACCCCCACCGCGTACAGTACCCGTGTAGGCCCCGAGAGTTGAACTTGTGACCTGTGTACCCGTAAACAGTTGGTAGGCTGTCATAGGTTCGTAGGTAGCAGGGGTTCGATCTGTACGTCTGTCGGATAAAAGTCTTAGCGAAGTCTAGAAGTCCTAGTTGTAGCCTTCTAGAAGGTCAACAAGTGGGCAAGTGGGCAAGTGGTGAGTCAAGTGGTGGACTAAACTGCAGTGCAATTGCAGTACGACGGTGGTAGGTTAGCAGTGAGTCCCCACTCAGTCAGCGGTAAGGTCCAGTCAGTCCCAGTCCGGTCCAGCAAGTACCACAAGGGACTGTGAGCACCGTGGGCCGATGGAAGAGGGCAGACCAACGAGTTTCAGAAGTATAAATCAAGAGGTAGCGCCCAGCCTTTCATTCATTCCTGCGTGAGCCATGCGTTAGCGCTGCCACAGCGACTTGTGCAAGGAGGTCTGCAGAGAGCCCGGAGCTGAASTGGGCAAGAGAGAAGGAGCGTAGCATAGCGATAGGGTAGTTGCGGCCATAGCCGCCATAGCTAGAGTTAGTGTGTAGTGTGTGTGTGTGTGTGTGAGTTCAGAGAGTCGCGCGTGGGATATCCAG